AAAATGTTCACACTAGAGATAATTCCAGTGAATGTTAAGAAATATGGGGAGACTTAGTTTAGATAAATAAATAAGCAGACACAGGAAATTCATACTTATTCAAAATAAACCTACAAATGTAGGGAATGGGGATAGGCCATGATGAATTTTTTAATTCATAGTAATGTAAAATCTTTTAAATGTAAAGAATGTGGGAAAATTTGGAAAAGTTTTCATTCCGACAAAATCCTTATGAATGTAAAAAATACGACAATCATTCCAAAAATATCATTCAAGAAATGGGAAGAACTTCATACAAACTCAACATTTAGCCAGCGTCAGAGAATGATCATCAAGGAAACCCCTATGAATTTAAGGTTATCTGAAAAGGCCTTTATACGGAGTCCAATGCTTAACTGACATTTACCAAAAATAAAAATCACGCTAAGGAGAAACAGTTTAAAAAACATGGAGAGATCTTTGAACTCATTCAAGTCACCAAGAACTCATATTAATAAGAAGATAACCTTATGAATATGAGAAATGATGAATGAATAAATAAATAAGAAATTATGATGGAAGGTGTTTAGACAATAACCATTTAATCAACATCAGTGAATATACATTAAGGGGAAACTATGAATGTAAGAAACCTAAGATTTTTAGGCTTTGTTCATATATTACCGAATATCAGCGAATCCATGATATGCAGTTAAAAACCCTGAAAATGTCAGAAATGTCTCAAGGTCCAATATTCTAATCTTTTTCGTTTTCTGGGAATTCACCCCATTCCCTCCATGTTCCAAGTCTGTGGGGTAGCCTCTAAACTACTCTTTTATGCATTTGCCTAATCTAATCATTTAGATGGGATGGTAGAAATGGTTTGCACTCCTCTAGGAAGCAATAGGTTGAGAGATGGCACTCTTATTTCTGACTCTTGATTCCTTGGATCCATGAGTCCTGGTTTTGGGAGAAACAGTACCATACAGTGGATGTTAGTTTAGGGCACACAGTTTCCTGAGAACACTTCCTTAACCCTGCAAGGTATTACCACCTGGTGGCATAATGGTGTCTTTGCAAGGCCATTTCTTAGTTCTAACAAGCCAGGTGAATTCCATGAGCATGGGCTCACTACCACATTTCATTTGCTGTGAGGTGCGTCCTTGGATCCAAGGAGAAGCTACGTGGGACACCGTGATGGTGAACAAGGCATTCTGTCCTACAGGGTATTTAGAAACCCTTAGAAATACCACAGTAGATAGCTTTATAAACAACGGTATTAATCTCACATGCTAGGAGCTTAGAAGTCCAAATTCAGGTGCCAACTCCAGGACAGAAGCATTCTCTCTCTCTGTTGGCACTGGGGGGAGGGCCTTGTTTCTTCCCAACCTGTGTAAGCTTGACATTCCTTGGCAATCTCCATGCGTGCAGGCATCAACTTCTCCCTACGTCGAGAAGGTCCTCAGTGCAGGGACTCCAGGTCCAAAGGACACTCTCCTCTCGCAGCTTTTCAATTGGAACTGTTGGAAATTGTTACAACCAGGCAAAAGTGTCAAGAGCTTTTTGTTTTTAAGTGTTAATCTTGACATAGCCCAAAGATGAACCATTCCCGTGTCTGACTGATTCACTATGCCTGAAGGTTGCCTGCAGCTAGGAGCCATCAGTATCTGTGAAGTGGAATTACATACGTGTACACATGCACACTTTAAAAGCACACTGCTGAGTTCTTTTTAATCTGCCTTCTTTTTCCTATACTACGCTGATACTTTCTCTCCCTTTCATTACCCCTCTCGCTACCTCAGCACTCCTGTCTAGGTACCCTACACTAGCAAACTAGAATAGGTCCTTCCATATTTATGTGTGCTCAGATAATTATATCACATGCACACACACATATGCATTTTGTGGTGGTTTGACAAAAATGCAACCGTGCACATTTTTCTGTATATTAATTTCCTTACTCAAACATAACTTGAACTTCATTAAGCCTTTTGTTTTTAATAAATTTATTGAACCAATTCACATACCATAAAGCACACCTAATTCTGCCCCCCACCCCAAAAAAATGAACAAATTATTCTGCGATGAAATACAACCAGAAGGCTGTTAGAAGCAAGCATGGCAAGGCTGCAGCTCACTTCCTTTGGACTCCATCAGGAAAGACAACTCAGTCGGAACAGGTACTAGATGTGGAACAGTAGAGGGCCAGTAAAAAGGAAGAAGAGACACCTAACCATACC